TATTATTATTGATGGGCCCTGGAGAGACTTACATATCCCTTCTTTATTCCAAGTTCTCAAAAGTTTTCTTTCATCGTAAAGCAAACACTCGACGGCCACTTTATGGATAATTATTCCCTCTTTGCTTCTCACTCTAGAGACGAAGAAGGGCTCACTCTTGGATTTTAATGGATCAAAGAAATGGCAAACCAAGTGAGAGAAGTGCGCTTCACCTTTTCCGCCTTTTCTTCTAAACCGCCGGCAGTGGTTTTTTCAAGAGAATGGAAAATGCATTAGGGAGAGTTTGACTTAAACACAAAGCACCTCTCGGTTTAACAAACAGATTTGAGTAGAGGCAGAGCCACATCTTCTGACCCTTGATGATGTCTGTTTCAGTGGCGCCCTTCTCGGTGGCTGGATTCCATGGCGGAGGGGTAGGGCCAGGTGCAGGGTGGCACGGTATGGGGACGGCAAGAGCTGAGGGAAGCCGGCATGCACTGATGGAAAGCAGAAAACACGCCAGCTCGGTAGCCAGGTGAGGCTGACGCACCCCCCAACCCCGGAGGCCACGGTTGCAACACAAGGGTGTGTCCCAGCTTCCTATTAGTGAGTCAGCATTTCCTCCTCTGGCGCCCAACAGCCCTGGGGTCTCTGTGGAGGTTAGGGGGAGGTGAAACATCCCCTCTGGCTGATCCTTGTTTGCCTCCGGCCCTCCTGGTCCATCTAGACCACTGCAGAGAAACCTTCCCTTCGCCTTGCATCCTGTCCTCCATGGGACTGCAGGTGCCCAGTCTGAAATGTGTCCATGACCACTGCTACCCAGGCAGTGTGCAGTTGGAGACGGATCCTCTCCCGAGGCCACACCTGGGGCAGCAGATAAGGCTGGCCAAGAACACACCCCATGCAGCCACCTCCTGGAGTTGTGCCCTCCTTGCTGTGTGACCTGAGCCAGTCACTTAACCTCTCTGTGCCCTAGCCGCCAACCCCCTCACAGCACCTCCCTCGAAGGGCTGCTGAGAGCACAGCTTTGCATGCAGCGCTCCTGTTCTCACAGTGAGGGAAGCAGAGGCCAGCGAGACAGAGTCTCGGTTGGCAAAGGGTCCAGCTTCCTGCCCTAGCTCTAGATACTGTGGGTGCCCTCGGAGCCTCCACAGGACTTTCAATGAGAGGGGTGCCTCATCCAGCCCACCCTTGCACGTAGGCCAAGGGAATAAACCATCTCCCATCCCCACGTGGCAGCCCCTTTCCTCCATGGGAGCTTGCTCAGGGAGGGATTCCATGCCTGTTTGTTGATTGGATAAGGTTGGTCCTCACAGGGAGGTGCTGTGGTGCGGGAAGGTGGGAAAATCCACATCCCCAGAGCTGTGAGCCCCAGGGTCCTGAGGCAGGAGGCAGGCGCAGAGATGAGGGCAGTTAATTCTGTTGGGGGTCGAGGGACGGGAACCCAGGAAAGCTTCCTGGAGTTGACTTTTGAGGTGGGTCTTGAAGAATGCACAGAAGCTTGGCAGAGGCTCAGGAAGCCAAGAAGGCAAAGGCATGAAGGTGTAGGGGTGCCGAGGGCGCCGGGCGCCAGCTGTCCCAGGACAGCAGCCAGGAAAGGGGGTCCCCACTCCTTTCTGCTCCTCCTGGTGGATGATCTCAGACCTTGTAGATCCCAGGAGGGGAGGGAGAAGCTTGATTCTGTGATCTTGAGGTCTCTAAGGACAGACCCCTCTTACCCCACCTCACGCCATAGGAGCAGGTGCCGGCCTGGGAAGCTCTGGGGGCTTTTTCTTTTCAGGATGGTTGGGGGGGCTGTGTCTCAGCTCCCACAGTTAGTCAATGACAGAGACCCCAGACTTGTGGTCCCTGGTCAGGAGGTCACACTGGGGCCTGTCCTACGGTGCCAGTGGGCCTCGGTGGAGAGTAGGGAGTGCTGGGGGACTGGGTATACCACCTTGGGTCCCAGAGGGAGAGCCTATAGAGGCTCCCCCACTTGCCCATGTAGGGTCTCGGGTGAGTGACTTAGGGACAGGCAGTAAACTGAGGAAGCGACACAAAGCCTCCTGCTCAGAGATCCCACATTCCACCCTGTATTACTCCTGTTCTCTGCATTTCTGACAGCCCTCAAACAGATTCTTTCCACGGGGAATCAGCCTGCACACAACATGAATGGGCTCGTTTTATATCAGAAGGCTGAATTTTAACTGACAAATTGGACAGGTTCCCTAAGGCAAGGGTTACTAAGCTTTGTCATTCTCGCTAAAAATGTGATTTATAATATATTTCTATCTGCTAGACACTCCTTTTCCCAGGAATGAAGACCTAGAGCAGAAACAGGAGGTCTACTTGGTATCTTGACCCCATATAAAAATATGCTCCTCCAAAGCTCTCATTAGCATATACACAGATGCGCATAAATCAACATGCGGCATGGCCGCCTGAGCTTCCTGTCATTGCGTTTTAATGATATTTTCAGCAGCCAGACAGTTAGAATTCAGACAGGATGAGAGCAAACCACCATTTACTTCAGAATTTTATGTTTTAAAGGAAAGATCTAAGGCTTTGATGAAAGGAGATGTATTTCCTAGGATCGCTTCTTCCAGTTTATAAAATAAAAACCATTTTTGTTGCTCCTTAAGTACTCTGGTGTTTATAAATGCAGAATATGTCAGATATTAGAGATTAACCCACACCATCAGCGAAGCTTCCCCAGAGATCCTTTGAAGAAAAAAAAAAACCACACACACAGAAAGTGGCTGAAAGCATCTGACTTCTTAGAGGTCTGAGTTAAAAGTTGCAAACTCATTTGGCCCGAGATAACCAGAAATGCTCTGAGCTAAGTGGGCAGAAATAGATTTGATCTCTGTATCTGATTGCCTGGCAGAAGTCAAGCAGCCAATTTTTCAACAATGTCTCCATATCATGAAACTTCCTAAAAATCTTCAAGGGAGTAACCTGAGCTTGTGAAAAATGATCCCGAATGTCAATAGGACAAAGCTTCCCTTCCAAGATGTAATTAGGGGAGCTTGGAGCAGGCCTTTCATATTTGACTTGACAAGTATCTTTTTTTCTTTATTCTGTCTGTTCTGGAGGGCTTTAGGAGGGCTGCACCATTTCTTTGTTAAGAGGAATGGTTGAAAGAAAATTTATATAAGAGGAATCAGTTAAAATTGAATCCATCCAATAGGAATGTTTATTTTACCCAACATTTTTCTGTGTGAAATACTAGTTTTTTCTAGGTAATATATGTCTTTTACTTAATTATATGCACATTTGAGCCCCTAAGTTCTTTGTTCAAAACACTGATTTTTTTTTTTTTTTTTTGAGACAGGGTCTCGCTCTGTTGCTCAGGCTGGAGAGCAGTGGTACTATCACGACTCACTGCAGCTTCGAACTCCTGGCTCAATCCTCCCGCCTTAGCCACCCGAGTAGCTGGGGACTGCAGGTGCACATCACCATGCCCAGCTAATTTTTCTGTTTTTTGTAGAGATGGGGTTTCACCATGTTGCCCAAGCTGGTCTTGAACTCCTGGGCTCAAGCAATCTGCCCGCTTTGGCCTCCCAAAGTGCTAAGATTCCAGGCATGACCTACCACGCCTGGCCCAGAACACTGTTGAAAGACATACTGATCTTATAAACGAAGAATTGCTAAGAAGGCTGATGTAACCATTAGGCTCCACTGAGAGACATCTGGTGTCTAGAACTCATGATGTCCAGGCTGGTGGGAGCTGGTCTGGAGTTGGTACCCCATGAATGCGTGGAGGGTATCCACAGAAGGGACCAGAACCTTGAGAAGACTCAGAGCCCTCAAGCAAAGGCCCAGAGTGGTGACTCACTCTCGTAATTCCGGTGCTTTGGGAGGCACAGGCGGGCAGATCGCTTGAGCCTAGGAATTCGAGACCAGCTTGGTCAACATGGTGAAACCCCATCTCAACTAAAAATACAAAAATTAGCTGGGCATGGTGGCGTGCACCTATAATCCCAGCTGCTCCAGAGGCAGAGGTAGGAGAATTGCCTGAACCTGGGAGGTGGAGGTTGCAGTGAACTGAGATTGCACCACTGCACTCCAGCCTGGGTGACAGAGCGAGACTCCATTTCAAAAAAAAAAAAAAATCAAAACCAAAACTCCCAAGCAGAACTTCTCAACCTCAGCACTGCTGACTCTTGGCTGGGACAATTCTTTGTTGTGTGTGGCAGGTGGCGGTGCTATGCCGGGCACTGCGCGATGTTTAGCTGCATGGGGGCCTCTCCCCACCAGATGCCAGGAGTGGTCTCCCTCCTCCAGGTGTGATCACCAAAAGGTCTCCAGACATTGCTAAATGTCCCCTGAAGGGCAAAATCGTCCTCGGTTGAAATTGTCCACTGCTCTAAAGAATGCAGGAAGTTGGGCACACTTAGCTCGAAATGAATATTTACAGGGAACATGAAAGCTGTTTGTAGGCATCGTATGAAAAAAGTTATTCTGATGGTTTCAGAAGGCTGAACAAGAACAAACGAGGCGAACCTGTATGTTGACTGAGGCACAGGAGACCTTTCTAGAAGAACTGCTCAGCTCCCAGTCCCCAAGGTGTGTATGTTTAGACAGGGCTAGGCTCCTGACTCAAGGTCCCGGGCTCTCTCCTCGGATGGACAGACGGACCGATGGTCCTCTGGGCAGCTAGAGGAGCAGCCAAGCGCTGAGTTGATGCCATCTCACCTGCTGTCGGGAGCAGCACCCAGGGCTTCACCGACGGGCCTCTGCCGTTCCTCAGGGCCCACTCCAGTGCCCCATGGAAGGTGGGCCGAGCAGCGGAGGCAGAGGAACAAGCGGACTCAGGACGTGGAGCAGGCAGGACAGCCCACTCCCCACCTGACCGTCACGGAAGCCTCCCAGCCGGTGTCTGAGCCGGGACTGGGGCCCAGAGTGCTCAGCCAGGCTCTTCCCTCCGAGCTGGGGAGCCGAGCCCCGGGAGCCGCACCTGCCCAGGTGGACTCCGCTGCTGCGTGGCGCCTGCGCTGGGACCCACGTGCGCCTGGGCCTCACCTCCCCGAGCGCCCAGCAGGTGGCACTGCGCGGCCTCGAATGGCGGCTCCTCGCGGGGTGCGTTTCCTCCTCCGCCTCCGGTGCCGTCACCCCTGCTCCACGCTGTCCTGTCTTTCCGCCCTGCCCCCGCCTCCGCAATGCGCTTTCTTTCTGTGGTCCCCTTTTGTTGGCAACGTCCCCGGATGGTGCTCCCCACTCAGCCTGTGGACGCCGCTGAGCTCCCTGGAAACCCCGCTGTGAGTGCCCGGGGAGGAGGGGGAAGGCCAAGGCGCGGGTGACCCTGGGCGTCCCACCTCTGCAGTGAGTGTCCCAGCCCCGGCTCCAGGCGGGGTCGTGTCTGCATCGACGTTTCGGGCCCGGAACGCCTGCCTGTGGCCCTCTCACCCCGCAGGTTGTGAGCGAGCATCTCCCCACTTTTATTCCCTGCATTATATGACAAGGCACACGGTGGAATGTGGTGTTTGGAATTGAGGACACTGAGAAAGAAAGAAAGAAGGAAAGAAAGGAAGGAAGGAAGGAAGGAAAAAAGAAAGGAAAGAGAAAGAGAGAGAGAAAGGAAGGAAGGAAGGAGGGAGGGAGGGAGGGAGGGAGGGAAGGAAGGAAGGAAGGAAAAAGGAGAGAGAGAAAGAAAGAAGGAAGGAAGGAAGGAAAAGAAAAGAAAGGAAAGAGAAAGAGAGAGGAAGGAAGGAAGGAAGGAAGGAAGGAAGGAAGGAAGGAAGGAAGGAAGGAAGGAAAGAAAGAAAGGTTCTAAACATACACAATCTTGACAAGGAAACATGTTCAAAACCAATCATTGCATTCACGGTAAAGAAAGCAAGGAGGTGGGTGACCGCGCACAGGGTAGGTGCAGGCTGGTGCGGGGTCCTGATTTGGAGAGCTTTGAGGGAAGTATCTGCTCGGATTGCATTGTGTCGGAGGCCTGGTGAGGGAGGCCTTGGCAGCGCATGGGGAGAGGCCAGAGAGCCTCCCAGGTGCAGGGCAAGGCGTGGGCTCTGACTTGGGGGCGGAAACAGAGACATCTGTGGAGCAATGAGAGGCTCTTGGCTGCGGAGGGGCAGCCAGAGACCTGCCCTAACCCTCTTCCCACCCTGGGCCTTGTTTCCTGACATCCCAGGTGGTGTAGGAACGTCTCCGCTCCCAGAAGCTGAGGTTAAAAAATGGTCGAACGTTAATTACTTAACGTTTTGCTTGAGCAGTACTCTCTGCAGCAGTGGGGTTTGTATGCAGCATAAAAACAACAGAAGACAAGGTTGGAAAGGGGGGTCACTCTGGATGAGAACCCTTGGCTTATGGTCCAGGCCATCCAGACGCGCGAGCACGCTGAGGGAGCAGATGACAGAGATGCTTGTGCCTTTGGTTGGTAGGGGGTGGGTGGACTGTGACTGCTTTTAGGTACTGAGGTGAACGTGTAAACAGTGTGGTCATAATAACGGCTAACAGGTTTTTCTTTCTTTCTTTCTTTTTTTTTTTGTGATGGCATTGCCCAGGCTGGAGTGCAATGGTGTGACCTCGGCTCACTGCAACCTCTGCCTCCCGGGTTCAAGGGATTCTCCTGCTTCAGCCTCCTGAGTAGCTGGGATTACAGGTGCGCACCACCACATTTGGCTAGCAGAGACGGAGTTTTGCCGTGTTGGCCAAGCTGGTCTCAAACTCCTGACCTCAGGTGGTCCACCTACTTCAGCCTCCAAAAGTGCTGGAATTACAGGAGTGAGCCACCACACCCAGCTGACTAACGGGTATTGAGCACTCAGCCACTGTCCTATGCCCTCTCATTGAACACCCACAATGACCCAATGGGATGGCCCTGTCACCATCATACATCCCCTCTTTCAGAAGAGGGCGCTGAGTCACGCTGAAGTTATATAATACACTCAGGTCACGTGGCTGGTAGCATCTGAGGCAGGGATCTGGACACAGAGGGCTTGATTCCAGAGCTCCCCTTAACCACAAGCCGATATTGACAAGCCTATGCCGTAAAGGTCCTGAGCGACGTAAATAAAACAGTCTTTGCGGGAGACTGAGTGGCCCCTCTGGCAGTTATGCATGAAGGAGCTAGGACAACTATTTGCTAGCTTGCTAGAATGTCATCACTGGCGAAGCAGCTTCACGTGCACCATCATATTTGATTCTTCCAGCAGCCCTGAGTGCTGGGCAAAGCAGGTAATAGCAACCCCATCTTACAGATGAGGAAACTGAGTCTCAGAGGCTGTTGGGTGGCTGGCCTGGAAGCCGGTGGTTTCCTAGCAGCTTCGGACGCTGCCGTCAGGGAGTGGGACTTCAGAGTGCACTTGTGTGATGACAAGTCCCAGGGTAGGGGTGGCCATGGTGGAGCAGAGGTGAAGGTCACTGCCCAGGAGGTGTGGAAAGGGCTGTGCAGTGCTGGGAGGCCCCCGGACGCCTCATGTGCCTGAGCTGGGCTGGACTGGGAACCAGCCGTCAGGCACCTGCTGTGGGTCACGCCCGTCGGTAGCTGATTTCAACCGCTCTTCATGATTTATCTCGGTTTATCTTCCTCTCCTCAGCTGTGCTTTCTAGCTTTGTTTGCTGTGATTTTCTCCCATTATGAGGCTGAGCGCTGTGTGACATGTGTGAGTGAGAGCATGACTGGCAGAGCCCACCTGTGTCTGCCTGCAAGGTTGCTGTCTCTGTCCTCCCCGAGGGCCTCTTCTCGCCGTGCCCTCTGCTCGCTTGCCCGCTGTGGAATCCAGCCTCATTGTTTAGATTTGGGACACCAGTTCCTGGGGATGGTTTTAGCTCTGAAAATGGAAAAAAGGACACTTAGCTTGGAAATGTTAAGGACAAAATAATTCATGAGGATTTTAATAGACTGGGGGCGGGGAGGAGCCAAACCATGAAGAAAAGGAGGAAATGAATGACATAAAAATTGGGGGCTTGGGAAGACAATGATAGGGTGGTTTAAAAAGGGCAGGATTTGGCGTAAAGAAAGTAAGTCCTGTTCAGCGTGTTGGTGGCGGTGAGACACCGTTCACCGGGTGGACACAGGCAGAACAGAAAGGGCGGAAGTGAGGGTGAGAGGCGAGGGCCACGGAAGCACACCTGCGAGTCACTGGGGGATGTACAGAACCCAGGAACCATGCACGCGAGGCCTCGGGGGCTGCCAGCGCTGGGCCGCCCTTCCCACATCTCCTGGGCAGGGACCTTCACCTCTGCTCACTGTGGCCACCCACACCCTCGGCCCTGTAATCACTAGAAGGTTCCAACTGCACTCTGAGATCCCACTCCCTGACCACAGCTTCCGGCGCTGCCAGGCCTCTCACGCCTCCGTCCCACCACACCCCCAACCTTGTCCTGATCTTGGCTCCCTGCACTTCCCCGTGGGCACCAGCCACCCCAGGTCCCCATCTCCAGGCCTCCAGACCGCAGGGGACATCATCTCGGCTGCCCTCTTGCCAGTGCCCTCAAATGCCCGACCCTTTTGTCCTTCCGCCCTGCTCATCCGGCAACACTCAAGCCAGGGATTTACAAAGCACCTGTCTCCCCGGACCCATGCTAGCCTCCGCGCTCTGACGGGAGAGCCCACACCAAGGATGTTTGGTGCCCACAAAGCCATGGGACCCAGAGGCAGCTGCTTGCCCGTGCCCTCCGCCTCCTCCTCTTCCCAGCACGTATTCCAAATGGGCGACATCTTTTCCAACAGATGGCTCTGCCTTCTAGTTCACAAAGGAACAGGGCAGGGCACAGGCATGGATGCCCAGGGCGCTGTGCTCCCCTACCTAGAAATGCATTTTCTATGTGTAACCACCGTATCAAGTGCTTTGTGGCTGTGTTATCTCATTCATCCTTGTGCCAACCCCTCTTTATTCTCATTCTGCAGGTAGGAAACCTGGGGCTGAGATGGAATGACCTGCCTGACGGTCCACAGTCAGCAGGTAGGAAAACGAGCTCAGATGTGTGCCCTGAGTCCACGGAGCTGGGCACCAGGCTTGGTGCCAAGGACAGAACCACAAGCTGGATAGACGAAGTTCCTACCCTCATGAAGCATATGTTTTAGGGCAGACAGGCAACAAACAAGGAAATGAACGGCTCCTCTGAGTGATTATAGACCATGCAGGTGTCGGCAAAGGGAGACGTACACTGGCTTCGGTGGGGGGGGGTCAGCGGAGACCCCAGCAAGGGAGTCGTGCCCTCTCGTGCTAGCGTCCTGTCCCTTGCTATCTACCTCTACCTGTTCAAGGGCAGCGCACTCACCCGTGCTTGGGATGCCAGCGTTAGCAAAGCATCTTACCCTCACTGTGGGCAAGTAGCCTTGGTACAGATGATGAGCTGAGGGGACGGAGGCCTAGAGGCGGAGAGGTACTAGGGGTATTTCTGGGGTCAGTCAATTATCTAGGGAAGAAACAGGTCCTTAAAGAGAAAACCAGGGGCTGGGTGCAGTGGTCACGCCTGTAATCCCATCACTTTGGGAGGCTGAGGTAGGCAGATCGCCTGAGGTCAGCAGTTCGAGACCGGCCTGGCCAACATGGTGAAACCCCATCTCTACTAAAACACAAAAATTAGTCGGGTGTGGTGACAGGTGCTTATAATCCCAGCCATTCAGGAGGCTGAGGTGGGAGAATCGCTTGAATCTGGGAGAAGGTTTCAGTGAGCCGAGATGGTACCACTTGCACTTCAGCCTGGGCAGCAGAGAGAGACTCCACCTAAAAAAAAGAAATAAAAGAGAACACGAGGGCTTGAGTCACCAGCCTTGGATGGGTGCCTCAGCTGGGTCTCTCCACCATAGAAGGAAGATGGCCTGGGCCACAATGGAGGCAGGTTAGTTCGATTCCTATCAACAGATAGTCGGGGAACATCTTGTTCCAGCTGGGATTCCCTAGGGTGGGGTGATAGAGGATCTGGGCGCAGGAAGCTTATTGGGAACTGCTCTCAGGATCATGGTGGGGAGTAAAGGAGGCGGGATTGGGCAGGGGGTGGGTGGCACACTTTTAGTGAGAGGTTGTCTGTGCTCAATCCCTGCCACTGTAGCCCATCAATTCATGAGAACACTGTGTCCGCTCCGTGCGGCTGAGCACAAAGGCTGGTAGCTAAAGCCACTGTGGGTTGTTGAATGCCTCTTCTGTATTGGACGCTCTCCGGCGCGCATGAACCTGTGAGACAAAGATCTTTTTACTTGCTGCCCATTTTCTTCATTCATTCTTTCTCCTCAAGATCTTCTGATTCCCAATCTTCAGTGTTTCTCCTTTCAGGCTTCTTTTTTTTTTTTCTCTTTTCTTTTTCATTTTATTTATTTATTTATTTAAGTGAGACGGAGTTTCGCTCTTGTTACCCAGGCTGGAGTGCAATGGCGCGATCTCGTCTCACCGCAACCTCCGCCTCCTGGGTTCAGGCAATTCTCCTGCCTCAGCCTCCCGAGTAGCTGGGATTACAGGCACGCGCCACCGTGCCCAGCTAATTTTTTGTATTTTTAGTAGAGACGGGGTTTCACCATGTTGACCAGGATGGTCTTGATCTCTTGACCTTGTGATTCACCTGCCTCGGCCTCCCAAAGTGCTGGGATTACAGGCACGAGCCACCGTGCCCGGCTTTTTTTTTTTTTTTTTCAACGTTTTCACGACTCCTTACAGGCTTCTGACCATGCTGTCTGCCACTGCTCTTGAATTTATATATACTTCATCCATGGGCCACCTCTTTTCCCTTGTGAAATAGATGACCAGGCCCACCCCTTGAGGCGATGTCCCTTAAGATTTCAACTTATTGCTGTCTTTCAAAGCCATGCCTGGATGAGGCTGCAATCCAGCCACATTCCACTTTTGGCCTGTGCCCGTGTACTGAGTGTGGCCGGCAGAATGTTCTCCCGAAGAGGCCCCCATCCTGAGTGCTGGCACCTGTGAATGTGTTAAATTACAGGGTAAGGGGGGTATTAAGGTGGCTGATCTTGAGGTGGGAGGTTATCCTACGTTATCTGGGTGGGACCAATGTCATTACAGGGACCTGATGAAAAAAAGAAAGAGGAAGGAGAGTTGGTGTTAGAGACAGAAAAGGAGGTGTAAAAGCAAAGAACCAGGACGGCCGTGTGAGAAGGACTCAGCCCTTCAGCCCTGTGTGGCTGGCTTTGAAACTGGAGGAAGCAGCCATGAGCCAAGGAGTGTGGGCGCCTCTAAGGCAGAGAAGTCAGGGAAGCATTCTCCCCTAGAGTCTCCGGAAGGAGCTGATGGGCCGGGTGAGGTGGCTCATGCCTGTAATCTAGCAGTTTGGGAGGTCGAGGCAGGTGGATCACCTGAGGTCAGGAGTTCCAGACCAGCCTGGCCAACATGGTGAAACCCCGTCTCTACTAAATATATAAAAGGTAGCCAGGCTTGGGGGCACACACCTGTAGTCCCAGTTACTCAGGGGGCTGAGGCAGGAGAATCGCTTGAACTTGGGAGGCAACGGTGAGCCAAGATTGCACCATTGTTCTCCAGCCTGGGCGACAGAGCGAGACTCTGTCTCAAGAAAAAAAAAAAAAAGGAGAAGCTGATGGACATCTTGATTTTAGCCCAGTGAGACCCATTTCGGTCTTCTGAACCCAGGACAGTAAGATATTAAATGTGTGTTGTTTTAAGCCACTAAATTTTTGGGTATTTGTTGCTGCAGCCGCCAGGAACTAATACACCAAGCAATTCCAACTGTGAACAAAGCCTGCTCTTTTTTCCTTCTTCCTGTGATCCTAAGGCGTTCCTGCCTGGTGGCCATAGGTGCGTGCTTACGGACACGTACCTGTGCAACACAGGTGGATGACGTGAGTTTGGGCCACTGGCTTGTGTGACTTAGTTCTGCCCTCTGGCCTTGCCAGTTCTCAATCCCGGATGTGCCACTTCCATCCTCCGGTGGATTGCTGCAGCACCTCGAAGGGTGTGATAGAAGCCAGCTTGTGATGGGCAGTACTGGCCATATGGTCACTTGACAGCACGTCAAGTGATACCATGTCGGTCTCCATATCTACCAGGGATTGGTAGCATGCCAAGGTGCTTGTTTTCTTTAAACGTTTGCTGACTGGGGCTGGCTGCAGTGGCTCATGCCTATAATCCCAGCACTTTGGGAGGCCAAGGCGGGTGGATCACAAGGTCAGGAGATCGAGACCATCCTCGCCAACATGGTGAAACCCCATCTCTACTAAAAATACAAAAACTAGCTGGGCGTGGTGGCGCACACCTGTAATTCAGCTACTCAGGAGGCTGAGGCAGGAGAAGTGCTTGAACCCAGGAGGCGGAGGTTGCAGAGAGCCGAGATCGCGCCACTGTACTCCAGTCTGGCGACAGAGCAAGACTTCATCTCAAAAAACAAAAAAAAAGTTTGCTGATGGGCTGGGTGTGGTGGCTCATGTCTGTAATCCTAACACTTTAGGAGGCTGAGGTGAGCGGATCACCTGAGGTCGGGAGTTCAAGATGAGCCTGGTCAGCCTGGCGAAACCCCATCTCTACTAAAAATACAAAAATTAGCCAAGCATGGTGGCACATGCCTGTAATCCCAGCTGCCCCAGAGGCTGAGACAGGATCATTACTTGAACCCGGGAGGCAGAGGCTGCTGTGAGCCAAGATGGCACCACTGCACTCCCGCCTGGGTGACAGAGTGAGACTCTTGTCTCAAAAATGAAAGAAGTTTGCTGACTGTTGGTCAATTTGCTCAGTGGCACAACTGGCATGTTCAAGAGCACCTCCATCACCCCTAGTATTTCCATCTGTGGTCTGTTTGCAGTCTGTCCTGTGGTCATTTGCCCTCTATTCCTGCCCCTACTCCCAGCTCCAGGCAAATACAGATCTACTGCTCGCCTGCATTGTTTCTGGCCTTTTCTAGAGATTTCATATAATTGCAATCATATGATGTGTCGTCTTTTTCTCTGCTGTCTTTCTCTTATCATAATGGCTTTTAGGGATATCCACGTTGCATGCATCTGCCCACTCCAACACTCAGAACACCAATGTCTCCCAGCCCTTGCGAGCCCTGGGCATCGTGAGGATCAGAGTTTCCTGACAGTTGTTCTTTGTCCTGCTCTGTGGACTCTCCCCCAGTGCATGCACAGTTTAATATTTAGTCCGAGACCCAAGCAGATGCCTATCTGATTTCTGGAGTTCATTCTCCGCAGGGCTCCCACCTCCGGAAATTCCAGCCACTTCGATTTGCAATCTGTGATCTCTGCCTCCTTAATTCATTGAGATTGTCTTGCTATCCTGGGCCTCTGCTTTCTGTGCTGTGATGTGGAACGTGAGTCCGGGCAGAAAGCCTGGGCGATCATAGAGATCACCTGGTATATTTCCGTTCCCTCGGGGATCTCGGTCCTATGTTGCCTGTTAATCAATGTCTGAGAAAGGGTTTTGTTTCTCACATATTTTGTCCAGTTTTTTAGTTGTTTATAGCAAGAAGGCAAGTCTGCCACTAGTGTTCCTTAATGACCATTATTGTTGTTGGATTTGTTTTTTTTTTTTTGAGAGAGAGAGTCTTGTTCTTTTGCCCAGGCTGGAGTGCTGTGGCCTGATCTCAGCTCACTGTAACCTCCGACTCCCTGGTTCAGGCAATTCTCCTGCCTCAGCCTCCAAGTAGCTGAGATTACAGGCACGCACCACCACGCCCAGATAATTTTTGTATTTTTAGTAGAGACAGGGTGTCACCATGTTGGCCAGGATGGTCTTGATCTCCTGACCTTGTGATTCGCCCGCCTCAGCCTCCCAAAGTGCTGGGATTAGAGGCGTGAGCCATCGTGCCTGGCCCTGAATTTTTTTTCATGATCTATTATTTATACACAATCAAATTCACCTATTTTTATTTTTTGTTTAATTAATTAATTAATTTTTGAGATAGGGTCTCACTCTGTCATCCAGGCTAGAGTAGTGCATACAGTGGTGCGATCACAGCTCATTGCAGCCTCCATCTCCTGGGCTCAAGAAATCCTCCTGCC